AGGTAGCCCCACTGCAAGGGTTAATAAACATTTTGCCCAGAGTTCTTCATTAATGGGTATGTAAACCCAAACAATAGACTTCTCATGATTGGTCGTTGGTCCCTTCAGTCTGTTACATATACCACTGAAAGCCCTTTTATCCTTGTTCAGAAAAAGTACCCGTTGAAGCATATCTAAACCCAAACCCAAAAATGTATATCACAGCTTACCAGCTCTTATATGTGGTAGCTGCGTTGTTTTTTAAAATTTCAGTCTTTCCCCTGTATTTTCACCTGGCGATCCTGCAAAGAACACACTTTCTGTTCTTTTGGCACCTATAATTTATCATATCATTCATCTATGGAGGGAGCAATGCTTATCATATGGGCTGGACTTCCAACATGTCTGCCTTTGTTCACCTCCATTACATGGAGGGTGATGTAATTAGTAGTTTACACATTAAATAAAAGGATGTAGCTCACAGGAAGTGACAAGGACACTGCACTTCACTTCTGAGATCAAGATCAACAGATATTTTTTGTACTTGCTGAAAATGCTCTTAGCCTGAAAAAACAAAACGAATGCAGCCCCGGCATCTAAGGACTGGCAGGCTGCAAAATATAACTATTTTATTAATATTGCTTTATATACAGTATAGGGGGGAATTTATCAAAACTGGAGCAAACAGAATCTGGAACAGTTGCCCATGGCAACCAATCAGCATCTCTATTCAGTTGGCTCAGGTAAGATTTGAAAATGAGAGAGAAGCCGATTGGTTGCAGTGCAAATCTGCTCCGGATTTTGTCTGCTCCAGTTTTGATAAATTCCCCCCACAGTATATTTTCATTCTGTCAATCATGCACTCCCTACCTTTTCTGCAGTCTTATCAATTATATTGTTCCCAATTATCTCTAAGGATTACACAGTCCCTCCTCTTCATGTAAAGGGAAAGAGGTGGAGGTGTTCTTTAGTCCTGTCTAAAGAACACCTAAAATTTTTCTCCGCTATATGGAGAAAATCACTTCCGCAAACAGGCCCATCACTTGAGTGATTCATTCAGTTCTGTGTCTTAACTGGCGCAGGTGCCCACTGTTGGCCTTAGGGTGCAAACTCAGGCACCGCTTAAGTAAAAAACACAGAGAATTCCTGGGGTCTTCAGCAGTAATGTCCCCATAGGAAGTGACATACCAAGGCCAATACCCTGTGCTTGGTGATTAAGACCCCCCATTCTGTGGGGTTACTCAAACTGCAGATGAGACCAAGATTTACTTAGTTTTTTCACACAACTCAGTCATTTTGGCATGGATACAATATTATTTAAGCAGTTAGATATTTCAGCAACCTCATTGTTCCCTACTGTGACAAAAATAAGTCATAGCCACATTTCCCAGTTTATGAAGAGTGCAAGAGTCCCCCTAATCTAAGCTGAATAAAGCATTTGATTTTGAATAAAGACAAGATCCTAGGATATAGATATCTAGATCTAGCTATATCTATATATAGATATAGCTAGATATATACATACACACACACACACACACACACACACACACTATATTGCCAAAAGTATTGGGACGCCTGCCTTTACACGCACATAAACCGTAATGGCATCCCAGTCTTAGTCTGTAGGGTTCAATATTGAGTTGGTCCACCCTTTGCAGCTATAACAGCTTCAACTCTTCTGGGAAGGCTGTCCACAAGGTTTAGGAGTGTGTCTATGGGAATGTTTGGTACTGATGTTGGACGAGAAGGCCAGGCTCACAGTCTCCACTCCAAATCATCCCAAAGGTGTTCTATCGGGTTGAGGTCAGGACTCTGTGCAGGCCAGTCAAGTTCCTCCACCCCAAACTCGCTCATCCATGTTTTTATGGACCTTGCTTTGTGTACTGGTGGGCAGTCATGTTGGAACGGGAAGGGGCCATCACCAAACTGCTCCCACAAAGTACCGTTCTTCTGGCAACCGCCAAACCCAGACAGAGAAGTGTGATTCGTCACTCAAGAGAACACGCCTCCACTTCCCTAGAGTCTAGTGGCGGCGTGCTTTACACCACTGCATCCGACGCTTTGCATTGCACTTGGTGATGTGAGGCTTGGATGTAGCTGCTCGGCCATGGAAACCCATTCCATGAAGGTCTCTACGGACTGTTGTTGTGCCAATCTGAAAGCCACACGAAGTTTGGAGGTCTGTAGCTATTGACTCTGCAGACAGTTGGCGACTTCTGCACACAGTGCACTTCAGCATGCGATGACCCCTCTGTAATTTTATATGGCCTACCACTTTGTGGGCGCGTTGCTGTTGTTCCCAGTCACTTCCACTTTGTTATAATACCACTAACAGTTGACCGTGGAATATTTAGTAGCAAGGAAATTTCACAAACACCTGAATCCATTGATTTGGAGGGGTGTCCCAATACTTTTGGCAATATAGTGTATATACACATACACACACAATGCACAAAAAATACAGATAACAGAATGTACGGGCATAGAGGAAAAACACATCTCCATGTAATATAAGGGCTAGTATTTAGTGTTGATTTAGCCTTACCCTTGATTTTATCAACATTCTTTGCTTTAAGCTCTGGGAAGTAATCTAAATAAAATGCCAAGGCTTCATCAGCAGTTATACTCTGAAATTTAAATTTGTCAACATAAGCCTAAAAAAGAAAACAAAATGGCAATTACTGCAATGCTAGGAGCATTATCTTCTCACTACTGCAACATGTAATACTGTGAAAGAAGAGTACCAATTAATAGGACAGCCCTTTAAACATGGCCAACTTTATTAGGTACACAATACTCGCCATCTGATTTTATCTCCCTACCTTTTTATTACATTCGCCAGACGCAACTCATTAACAACAAATTCCAGTACAAATTACACTTACGTTAATCTTAGTGCACAATATAATACCCATTGACGAGGGAGCATGAAGTCGGCTTTCTGGACAATCAGTAAGCAGGGGGCCTTTAATGACATGCGGCTCGCCTTCCTGATTGGCCTGCTCCATGCTCCCCCGTCACAAGTGACGAGGGAGCATGGAGACGGCTTCCCGGCCAATCAGGAAGCCGGGCAGCTTGTATAACTCACTGCCCGGCTTCCTATTACCAGTAGCTCAAGTATCGGGCTAGGCATCGGAGCATTTGGGCGAGTACGAGTCCTTGCCCAAATACTCAGAATCGGAACCGATACTAGTATTGGTGCGTCCCTACTTTAAAATCGTATGGAAAGTACATAATGCCTGCCATTCTGGGAAGCCCCGAGGAGTCAATGTACTCCTGTGACCTAAAAGAGAACTAAAGCCAAAAAAAAGTCTGTGAACTTATCCATTAAATAATTGCATGAAAGTGTATCTAGAAGAAATGGTGCTGGTTTAAAAGGCAAAGGAGGGACACACTAAATATTGATTTGATTCGGGATTTGATTTCTCTGTTTATGAACTTTGCAGGTTGCCAATTGATAAATATATACTATTCATGGCATTATTTTTATAGCATCCTCACTTTACAGCATGTTTTTACATGGCCTAAACAAAACTTTGTATATTGTACAATCTCATTACAATGTACAGTATGTTAGATTTCTGAATGTCTAATGAATGGTTACTTTATTCATCAGTGCTCTTTAGATGCATATACAGACCAGGTAAATATAAAACACTCTTACCTTAAGAAAATTATCAAATTTGCTTTGATCCCCAACAAGGTGAGCAAGATAAGAGACAAAGCAGAAACCTTTCTCATAAGGGGTCTCATTGTAGGTGTCATCTGGATTCACTCCTACACAGCAAACACAGAAAATGCATATTAACCCAGAGCGTTTTTTAAACACGTTATAATCCAAATTTTTTTAGTGTTTTTAAATGTATTTTGTTTACCCTTAAAAGGAGAACTATGGGGTCAGTGTTTTTCCCCATAGTTCTCCTTGGGGTAACGGGAGGACACAAACTAGTGTCCTCCCGTTACCCTAAGCTCAGTATACCGCGAGCTACAGCTCGCGGTATACTGAGACGCCGCACCTGGAGCGGATCCCGACTTAGATGACGGGATCCGCCCAGCTGCGTGAGTGACAGCTGGCTCTGCCTATTTAGAGGCAGAGCCAGCTGTACCTGCCCCCTCCCCTGTCCGTTCCGCCAGTCAGCGCTGGCAGATCGGAGAGGGGAATCCAGCCCCTCCCCCTGTCACGGCAGAGAGCCGTGACAGGATCGAGAGGTGAGGGAACCCGGTATGTGTTCGCTCACCTCCCAATCTACTGAGCCGACCTGTGACAGTCTCATTGTCACAGGTCGGCTTAGAACTATGAGGTGAGTGGAAATCACTCATGTCATAGTTCTCCTTTAATCTTTTTAACTTTTGTTTTTGCTAACTTCAATGCTATTACATAGGGGGGGGGCTAATAAGCCCTCTATGCGATAGCACATTGGAGATGACAGGTTCTCTTTAAGGTGACATTAGGTAGATAGATCTTCAGGTCCTACTCTGCTGATTGACAGCAGGCAAAGGGCAGGTGCAATAGCCAGCCTGCTATTGGCCATTTCAAATTGCAATAGCAGACTGGCTATTGCACACACCCAATGCCTCCAAGCCTCTCTGGCATCTTTATCTTGTGCCTCTGCCTACAGAAAAAAAAAGATATTTTAGGACTCTGTGTCCTCAATCTCTTTTTCTATTTCAAAAGGGAAATATCAGGGGTATGTTTAGATCCCTAATATTTCCCCAGAGCCCACAGCAGTAAAGTAAATCAAAATAGATAAAAAAAAAAAAAATTTAAAAAACTAATTTTTTATTTTTGGTTGGAAAATTTCATTTCGGTGCACCACTACAAATCAAAGGGTATTTGAGATGCACAAGAATCGTTTACAATGCATTTGTATTAACCCATTTGGAGGAATAAAAGCGAACCAAAAACTGATCTCAAGCTTTTAGTGCAGTTACGACTTCTTTGGGTTAGTCCCCCGGGCTTATATTCACCTTTCCCCAATTCTTCCATGTGGTCCTCTCAATGCCGCTCAGTCTCGTGTCAGACTATTCTCTGTCATGCCCACAACCATCCAAGCAGGAGAAGTCAATATTCCCAAACCCCCAGGATTGCCTCGCAACAGTCACTAAGCAAGATGACAGGAGCCAACTTTAAAAAACAGGTTAGCAGTGGCTGCTCACAGTTTCCTTTAAGGCTCCATTGATAATGGATTGCATGTTCTCTGTGTGACTCCTATGATTTCTACTGGACTTTGACTAAAACTATATATAAAAAGGGGCAGAAAATAATGAGTACAGAAAAATACCTGGTGATCCTGCCAGAAATCCATTAAGCTCGTAACTTCCTATGCTGCACTGAAAACCCAACCAGAGTTATCAGCTCTGCCCAGTTACATTCTGATGAATACAATCCCCCCATGTTACGGAGATGATGAATGGGGGAGGGGTTTGTAGTCCAAATAAGGAGCGCAGCCTAGAGTGATAACTCTGCTCTTCTATAGTTACATTACAGCGATTGAGGGCTGTCACCATAGGATAAAAAAAGTGTTACTGCCAGGTTTACCAGGTAAAAAATTAAAAGGCAATTGCAGTTCAAAGAATGGGGAAGTAGGAAACCAGAATCCCACTAAAGTAAAAGTGTAACTAGCATAACTACAGTACTGACAGTAAAAGCTTTCACTCACCTGGTTCTAATATGACTCTGAGCTTGTTTAATGGATGGTCTTCTCCTGATGAGTCCATGTGCTGACGGAGAAGAGCTCTTCCTGTGGCTGCTTCCAGACAACTGTACTCATGTCCTGCAAATAGGATTCGATCATTATCGATGACTATAGATAACAAGAGCTGAAAAAACTTTATTCTAGTATATCAGTAAGATGGACAAAACGGGAACATTGTACACTAGACAGAAAAAGTAGTATGAATAGCATGTCTCAGAAGAGATACAATGACAGCAACACACTGTAAGGGTTTACCAGAGATTTCAGTGGTAATCCTCCGCTGGGCATACATAGTAAAACCCTCATTCAGCCAGAACTCTCCCCAGTTAGCATTGGTCACCAGGTTACCAAACCAGCTGTGGGATATTTCATGGATAATAACATCCGCCAGAGAACGATCGCCAGCCAGCAGACATGGGGTGACAAAAGTGATACAGGGGTTCTCCATACCACCAAATGGAAACGATGGAGGCATGAACAAGACATCATACCTGAAAAGTCAGATACCCGGAAAGTTAGTCGTGGTTTACAGTTTACAATAACAGCTGAAAACTTTATAATGGCATACAGGAGGTTAATAAGAGAGACAGTATAACTAGTATTTGCCAGGAAAGCCTTAAATTGCACTGCAAGAAAAGACGACTGAAGGGGGTTGGTTAACTGTAACCAAACAAAAATATGAAAAAATATCCATCAATCTAGCATGGCACCCAGGTGTTGTAAGGCACATAGGCTCACTACAGAACTACTGTCTCTAAAGCTGGCCATACACTGAACAACTTTCAGCCAAGTCCTGCTGACTTCGACCAAAATTCGAGCTAAGTGTGGCCCTGCCAACACCACTCCATTCCACAAAAGTCACATTTTTTAATCTTCTGTTGAAGGAGCCAGGTGGAAAATTGACAGCCAAAAGGTCCCCACACACCGTACGATAATTGCGGGAAATCCCGCGATCGTACGATTATCGTAAGATGTGTGGAAGCCGTGCGACCTCTACTACTGTAAGGTCGCACGACTTTAAACTTACGAACATGTTTCAAAACCCGCCGAGCATCGTACGATGTTCGGCGGGTCTGTAGCATGTTCGCAAGATAAAAGCCGGACGGGCCGGTGTGAGCAAGCGCACACTGCCCGTTCGGCATTGCGGTCATCGGAAGCCCGCCCCTCAGGGGGCGTGGCTTGCGATCATTGCAAGTACGATCTGCCTACGCAAGATAGGCAGATCGTACGTTTTTTTTTAAGTACCTTACAACCATTCCAAGACAAAAGTCTTGGGATGGTTGTAAGGTGTGTGCCCAGCCAAACAGTCATTGCAGCCAATCAGCTTTAATCACTGTCTGGGTATTCTGACAGCCATAGGTGCCAGCTATCAGAACACAATAGCTTGGCAGGGAAAATTCCCCCATCCACACTATTTAGTGCGCATGGGGAAATCCAGGGTTTTTCCTCAATCAGCCCAGTGTATGGCCAGCTTAAGAAGTATAAGGGTTACCATTAGTACAACTTAAGATACTGTTCAGTAACAAAAACAGTCAATGTTTTATTTTGTCTGTCGCAAACAAGTATTAGCTGGAATTATCCACAGCTCCTACATTTATGAATTAGCTGTGAAAACATAAAATCAAATAGGTATGTAAAGCAGATGAATTCCTTGTTCTGATTCCTTGTGTACAGTTACAGTGCAGACTGTAGACAAGCTAACTGTAAACAGGGCAATGTTTACAAATGTCCCGATTTGGACAACAGTTCTCAAAGCACAAAGATATGTTGAATAAGCAAAATTGCTTGATATTCCCTGATACAACAATAATAAAAAAAGAAGAGTTAAATTGTTTTAAATGTACAGTTATCCTTTAAAAACCTAGACCGAAGCCTTATACACATGAAAGTGTTACACTTCCAAAGTAGAGCAAAAATGACCAGAAACTCACCTGCCCCATACATACGGCCCAAATAGTTTTTCCCCTACAGTAAGAAACTCCTCTATTACACCATCATATTCTTTCTTGGCAGCATCAATCAAGCATGGTTCTGCCCAAACCCTGCTCCTAAAAACACAACAGAGAGATTTTCAGTGAAGAGCCTAACACAAAATACAGGGCTCTGGTTAAATATCATGAATCGCATACCTTGGCCCCACTTTTGCAGAAACAATATCCCCAACTACTAGAGCAACAAGATAAGAAGGAATAGGTTGCGTCATTTTGAAGATGAATGTGTCACCATTACGATCCCAGGTGTCGGCACTCATAATTGCTGTGAAACCTTCAGGAACCTGCAAACAATGAATACATATCCACTGTGAATGCTGGAATGGAAGGATCTAGGCAACCAGTACAAGTTCATTAAAAATGATAACTAGGCAGAAGCTACAATATTAATTGTACTCTAAGGCCTTATACATATGGCCATCGGAAGATCTTGTGGCCAAAAAGGCATATCCAGTCCAATGACTCAACATTCACTAGCAATTTACGTAACACTTTGGTGCCTTTACAGAAATGTTATCATGGCCATGCCTAAAAGCTGGAGGCCTGTTCATTCACATTTTTTTCCCCTGCCATGAAAACATTTCAGAGCTGGATGCAAGGAACCCTTTAATATACAGACAGTGGATGCACTTCCTGTATGCCAGGCCTGGACAAATTTCAGGAGCCAGGCAGCCAATGTTACTTAAAATTTACACCTGGCACCCAACTTTTGATGTTTTCTCTAGTTATTGTCAATTGAGCTGACTGTTAAAACAAACATTGCTGCTGGCTCCTGAATTGGACAGATTGGCTCCTGAATTCCATAATAATTTGTCCACCCTTGCGGTATGCAAACCCCAGAGATGCAGAGAGTAAAGAAAATATTAAAAGAGCAAGGATCACATACTGAGTAAAGTGTACATTTCTGTAAGCCAAGACAAGGTTCTATGAATTTCAGCTTTTACTTTGTGTCTAGTTCAAACAATGTTGTCACCTACTGTATGTGCAAATCCCAGTGATGCAGTAGACTTCAATGATTCCATTATTTGCAATTTCCTGCATCAATCAACCTATCTAATCTATCTAACCTATCCTCACAGTTATATCTACAGATACCATACCACCTGCAAGATTCCATTTTACACAGGTTTTTTTCTACACACAGTTTTTGCATGTTTTTTAGGCTTGAGCCACTTTGTTTTCGCCAATAGAAAGCTAGTTACTGGTTGTTAGGCGCTTTTACTGGTCTATTGGGGCCAAAAACAAGCAATCATGCCTCATGAAGCTCCCGCACTTTTTCTGAGTGTTGAGCAACAGCGCATCGCTCAGATGTGAACAGGCCGAAAAATAACATGGAAATCTGAGTGTTGAACATGGAGGTGCTTCCACAAACGCGAGTGTGAAAGATAGACAAATCACATTACAAGGAGACTGGTAATAGTCTAGAATGTACTAACCTTTATATTTGCTGAATAAGTGCTTTTAACAGCAGGTGTATCAAAGCATGGAAAAAAGCAGCGGTTTAAAACAGCTTGACCCTGTGTATACATGTAAGGCTTCTTCTTCCCTGCTGTCTGCTCCGGTTCCAACCAGCATACCTGTAGATAGATTAATTGAATGATGTGAAACTACTGGGGAGAAAAAAACAGTTATGGGTTCAGCATCATATGACATTTTAACAGTGGTTCATGTGATTAGCAGTGGCAGTTTGCAAGACTACTAATATCAGTGATTACATTGATTTTTCCCACTGCCAATTAAGCCATTAAAACTGTAAGGGCTGGTGCAGGCCTGGGCGATTAGGGCGTCCCGGGACTGCAAGATCATGCGCAATTGTACACAGCGATTTCAGCGTGGCCCCATTGATTTTAATGAGGTTACATCCGCACGGCAATTGCAGAAAGAAGGTAGGTGTACCTTTTTTTTTTTGCGACACACGGCGTACGGCTGTTTAGAAAATAATGGCACCAACAGCGCAGTGGTGGGCGACTCTGTGACCGCATGGCAATCCGTGCAGCATTGTGCACGATTGCTGCGAGGTCATGGATCGCGCAGGTGTGAACCTGGCCTAAGCTATATAAACACATTACAGGTGCCAGGTAGCCAAACCTTCTGATAAAAGTTACGGCCTAACTTTTGAGTTCTCTCTAGCTGTTGTGAATAGAGCGGACTCCTAAAAAAAAAAAATCTGCCTGGCTTCTGAATTTTATAATAATTTGTCCATACCTGATCTAGACCGTTTCAATAGTTCTAAATTACCCAGTGCTAGGTAGTGCCTAAACCTTAGAGTGGAACTCCAGGAAGAAAGGTTTTGTCATTTTTTTTTTTTTACACAAGAAGAGAGAGGAGGTTACCTCTGATGAAGTTTATGCCCCTTCCGGATCGCTGCTCTGTAGTATAAAATGTATAAATTTCACCCATGGCGGCAGAAACCTCATTAGAGATAACTTTTTTTTGTTTTATACATCAGAAATGCCTCTCTGCCCGAAGTTCTGTTTCAACATCTATCACACCATGGGATATTTAGTTTAATATTTAATGGTACACAAGTTCCAAAACCTCTTGGCTACCAATATATATATTCTTAAAGATAAACTCCAACCTTACCTTTTTTCACCATATTTGGAGCAACTCCTGTGTTAAAACTGATTACACAATTCCCTTCTAACTTGCATCTCCACAATATAACGAGACCAAAGTGGAGATGTTTGGCCATAATGCACAGCGCCACATTGGGCAAAAACAAAACGCAGCATATCAACACAAACACCTCATACCAACGATCAAGCACGGTGGTGGAGGGGATGTGATATGTGCTTGTTTTGCAGCGGGAGGACCTGGGCACCTTGCAGTAATTGAGTCAACCATGAACTCCTCTGTATACTAAAGTATTCTAGAGTAAAATGTGAGGCCCATCTGTCCAACGTCTAAAGCTTGGCCGGAAATGGGTTATGCAACAGGACAATGATCCAAAGCACACCAGCAAATCTACAACAGAATGGCTGAAAAAGAAAAGAATCAAGGTGTTGTAATGGCCCAGTCAAAGTCCAGACCTCAACCCGACTGAAATGCTGTGGCAGGACCTTAAGATTGCTGCGCATAAACAAATGCCTGCAAACCTCAATGAACTGAAGCAATGTAAAGAAGGGTGTGCCAAGAATCTTCCACAACGATTTGAGGCACTGATCAATAATCATTTTCCGTATGACTTTATTATTATTTATTCAATAATTATTCAGGGGTTTGGACATTTTTTTAAAACTACTTGTTCATAAAAATCCACTCTTCCCAATACAAAAAAAATAGTTTTAATCAAAACCATATTGGACTGTGCTAAGACGCATTTGACCACGCTGACCAATGAGGGCTTGCAATTTGCGAAATTCAAAATGCATAGCGCAGGGCTGCGCTGGACAGCACTACAGGTACAGATAGTACGCCCGTACTGGCGGGGGGAAAGGACTGTTCGCCATAAAGCTAAGTATAGCAGGGGGGATTGGGAGAGACAGGGCCAGATTTGATCGGTTAGCTCCATTTTCCCAAGTTACCTGGGAAAGTGAACTTACCCTTTAATGCACATTGTGCGTGTAGGAGAGTTCTGCTGCCTGGCTACCACAATATGGCACAGAGTGGAATGACGGCAGCACTCAACACGCACACACACAGTGTCCTACGCGTGCGTTTATTTGCATGCAGATCGGGGGGAGCAAGGGGGTTGGTTTTCATTTTTTAATTTAAGTAGTTATTTTTTTCACTTACATTTTATTCCCATCACAGAGGTTTATAAGCCCGTTTGTGATAGTTTAGAGGTGACAGGTTCTCTTTATGGAACCTGCCCTCCAACACAGAGCAGATCTTTGAAGTTTCTGACAACTGAGACAGGTGGCGTTGTGATTACAGTGAGTCGGTCTCAGTGCTCACACAAAGAGCGGAGAACGGGCGTTCTCCGCTTTGCTCCCCGCTCTTCATCCTGAACTCATTTGCCGTGGTCCCGGGTCGTCCCAGGAGGAGCGGGGAGCCCCGAAAACCACGGCTTGCCCTGGACAAGATCACTGCTCGTTTGATACAAGTGATCTGATCAGATCACTGGTATAAAACATGCAGCGGCTCCTCACTGTACATTTAGCGCTGCTTGACCGAACCAGGGCTAAACGTACAAAAAACTACCTGCCCGGTGCCCGAAACTGCATGTCCCAGGCTTTCCACACCCCTGGATTATTGCTGCTAAAAGGTGGTTCTACAAGCTACTGAATCATAAGGTGTACTTAGGTTTTCACACATGGCTTCTCTATTTTTGCTTAATGTTTGTAAAATAAATAATGACACCGTATAATATGTCATTTGTTGTTCATCTGTTGTAGTATTTACAGAATTTTAAGACCTGCTCAAGACCAGATGATTTTATATTGTCCCGATACATAAAACCATGACATTCAAAGAGCTTGTACTTTCTTTTTCACATGACTATGTTGACTAACTGCCAATTTCTCCTTTTGAAAGTGCTAAGTGCTGGTCTATCATGCTGATCCAATAACTTCAGTGCTTTGTGAGTCACTGACTAGTATAGGCATGCAGAATGGGAGCTATGCCTTTACTTGCTGCAACATTGTTCTTGGTCAGTGACTCAAATTATATTAAGGCCAGGTTCATACCATATACCAGACCAGATCTGAAACACGGTGTATTGCGGTTTGCCGTGTTTTTACATCCATTTTACAGCATTCTGAAGCTGTTTTTTCCCCCCTCCAGTTTAAAATGGGCTTTCAGCTGCGTTCCAGTGTGTTGCATGCGTTTCCATGCGTTACAGTGCATTCCAGACCATTAAAAAAATGAGACATGCAGTATTTTTTTCTGGTCTGGAACGAACTGTGGTGGTGTGAACAGAGGCCAGAAATAGCATAGGGATACATTGGGATGCATTTAGGGCCCGGAAAACAATCTGGTCTGGAGATGATCTGGATGTGGTGGGAATGGGCCCTGAAGCCAGAAGACTAGTACTTCCATGAGAAGATCAGCAATGGTAGCATACACATTCCTCTCTGAGCACATCTTATCTCCTCACAGTGTTTAACCCAAAATAATTCAGTGGAAGAAAGTGCATGCCTATGTTCCTTCCCTGCTCCCTACTCCATACACTGGGTTGAACATACACATTTATGTGACCACTGGCCAGTTGATGCCTTGAAATCCAACCACCTTTGTATGCCTATAAACAGCCTTAATTACATCTAATTTTGTTAACAAACTGGGCCTGACATATGGCGCCATTGTCATAGATGTATACTAGAAGCACCAATGCAGAATATGAGCAACAGTGCCTGGTGACATTGTAAGAAATTACAAGTAGCGGGTGCATGTAGCAATGCCATATCTGCCCTGTTTAGTACTAGAATGGCACAACTTCAAAGTGAACCAAAAAGGAAATAAAATGTGATGGCCGTTACCAAGCAGTGAATTATAACGTCTTGAAGAGATAGGGGTAAAGTACAAAGTCCTGCAGTCATGGTGAGCAATACATATCCATGCAAAACGCCTGTCACAGCAAAACTGAGTCTCAAAGGGCTTTCCAGATTGAGAAATTGTTGCCGAGTTAGGAAAAGGCTACAAAGTTATTGAGGATGAAAGCTTTACAGCCAGAGGACTCTGTACAAGTGAGACACATGATGTGACACAAGGTCTTCAAATTGCTGACATTAATGGACTTATGCAATAAAATACCACAAAGCACAAGACCTACTAATCATAATCCAACTCTTAAGCGGCCACACACCTATAGATATCTGCAGATTTTCTATGCTCAGATGGAGGAAGCTGTTGCACTTTTTCCATCTATGCTAAACTGTGTGGACGGAGGAATCTCCCACTGGGCCAAGCTTCAGTTTCTTGCTAGTCGGCCCCACTGGCTGTCAAAATACCTGAGCAATGCCTGTGTCCAATACACCATACTTAAAAGGTAGAACACTTATTCATCACCGATAAAAAGAAACATTTTGAGGTTGCTGGGGGCCTCTATCTCAGGCAGTAGTGATAAGCAATGTTGCTTTTGATGGGTGATGAATCAATGCCCTACCTTAATCCTTCAGTATGGTGTGTGGGTGAATGATGATATTTTATATAGTCTTTGATATCTGCTTTGATGACCCTATCAGTCATTTCGCCATAGCACCACTGAATAAGGTCTACTGCTGTATGGAGTGCTCTGGATTTTCTAAATCTTGAATTACACTGCAAAAAAAAAGCCACATCATATTTTCCTGAATCTCCCCCCAGCCAACAGAACCCAAAGCTCTCTTATCCTGCAGTTTTATGTAATCTAAAAGACCTCTTTCAACTTTTGATGGAATTCCTCTCCTGTTTTGCTGAATTTGCTAGACATTCAATTGTCAGCAGATGGGGCAGGAGAAACGGCGAAAGAAACTAGAACTATTGCTACCGGGGACCTAGATCAGATATTGGCAGAAGGATAGAAAAGAATGCTCCTCAATCTCCTCCTGTAAAAACAATTAGAACAGGTTTTCATTCTATGGCCCCTTTCACACTATCCGATCAGGATCCATGCACAGATCCCCTCCTGATCGGTGTGGAATAGATTGGATGTCACCGCTGTGACATCTATGTCCATCCAGTTTTTTCATCCATCTTGTGATGGAAAAGAATAGCTGAAATGACCGGACCCCATGTCAGGCTATGGGGAATCAGATGTAAGCAGACGTGTGTCCGTTTACTCCAGATGACCCCCGATCCGGCATGATCAGGTCCGGAGAAACAGAACACTGTTCTGTTTGTTTTTCCTGACCTGGCCGGGAACCAGGGGCAAGTGGATGTAAATGGACACGCGTCTGTTTAGATCCAGCTGGCCATAGACATACACTGGGTATCCAATCAGGACCGCCTGAAAAACTGACAGGCCTAAGGGTCCTAACATATGTGCTTTGATGTGTGAAACATTTATGCAAATGGAAGGAAACTATCACAACTGGAGCAGTCGCTCATGACAATCAAATCGGCTTCTAGCTTGGGTTTGTTCAGTTAACATTTGAAAATGAAAGATAGAAGCAGACTGGATGCCATAGGTAGATTCTATCTGCTCCAGTTTTGATACATCTCCCTCAATGTATATTTGACCATAACAAGTTAGGTTTACCACCCCTTAGACCACCAGGGCCTGCATCTCTGTCCCTGGATGTCCATCACATGTTGTACAAAACAGTCCTCCAGCTGAAACTGGGAGCAATCAAAAGAATGCTTCTTCCTCTGTCATAGTTTAGTTATTGTCCTTCAGTATAACAAGGTGACAAATAGGGAACTTTCTGTGTTGCAGCCACATCATAAAGAGGGTAAATTTGTGGAATCATCAACATATATATGGAAGTAAAATAACCGAGTCAGCAAAGCTATAGATAAGAAGGCAAAGTGCACACAAATAAATGACAGCTACAGGGGGAAAAAAGGCGAATACAAAAAATGAAAACTCAGAAGGAAAATGAACAGACATTCCCTGGAATTCAGCGGACACTCTTTAGAATTGAGTTGTACCTGCGACAGATTCATGTACCTAGCAATACAAATGGTAAATGCACTCATCAATTAATAGGTAGTTTTAACGTAAGGTGCACATGGAAGGGCTTTACACAGTCCAAAAGCAAACTTTTCCAGCACACTCAGCCGCCAGCGTGCAAACAAACAAAAAAACAAATGACACTGTCTAACTATTAGGGTTAAAAACAGAGGTTTTAGTTGCACAACTTTGTATTTGTTGTATTTGGTGTGGGGACATGCTGGGGGGCTTCAGCTACTGTTGTGATGTGCGGGGCTTGTACCTTTAAGGAAGAATGGTCTATCTCCTGGTGAACCTGCCCCCAATTCATTCTTTGCTATTTATGCTCCAAGATGGAGGCTCTCATAGATTAGAATTAGGACCACACTATACAGAGGAGCCTTGACAAGGCAGTGTGGCTTCCACATATTTCAAAAAGGTTGTGCAACTAAAACCTCCTTGTTTTTTTGCAGGCTAGATGATAAGTGTGCTGGGAAACTTTTTGCAGACAGCTACATGAATTTATTGCATGAAGGGGCACACTGAGAACAGAGTGTTCATACCATGGATGTTCCATCCTCAGTCCATATGCAGCCCTCCAACTTGCACAGCGTCCTTAGGTTGCTCAAATGCTGTCGGCTTACAGTGTCATCAGTTGGCAGGACGTTGTTGGCTGTGCAGCCCAACAGCATCCTAGCAACCAATGACCCATTTCCAGCCTCAGTCAGCTGCCGGTGTTCCATCGATAGTCCAAACTTATCGAGTTGTGGGACTGCATGACTTTCGGTTTCCTTAGAACTACGAGCTTTGAGCAAGAAATTTGTTGTGCACGAGCGCCATCCACGGCATTGCCCTATACACATACACCACAGCAATAAAGTAATAAAATGTAGTCGGATCACAGTAATCAAGCACGTTATTTATCTCCTGTGCCCCACTCAATATGGCCGCCGCTTGAGTGGGGCAACTCAGATTAATAACGTGCTTGATTACTGTGATCCGAGTTCATTTTATTACTTTATTGCTGTGGTGCATGTGTATAGAGCAATGCCGCGGATGGCGCTCATGCAGAAGAAGTTTTGTGCGCAAACCTCGTAGTTCTAAGGAAACCGGAAGTCATGCGGTCCCAGAACTCGATAAGTTCGAACTTTCGATCGATCACCGGCCAGGAAATTCAACAGCTGAATGTAAACAAAGAGGCGGGGATGCTGGCTGACTTTATTGACTAAATAGGGCCACTGTCATGTCATATTTGGTAAGGACATTAGCCAGCATCCCACCCCTTTGTTTACATTCAGCTGTCAGCCGTGGAATCTCACAGATGTCAGCTGAATAGGGCTGAGGATTTGTCATTGGTTGCTAGGCTGCCAGCATCCTAGCAACCAATACGCTCTAAGCTGCCATGTAGTAAAGAGCAATGCAAACATGTCCTGCTCTTTCCTCCACAGTGTGGCCCCAATCTCTACACTGTGGTCTGTCTCTGTACGCCAATTTAGAGTTGTTTTAGTCACCTCCAGTTTTCTAATCTATAAAACAGGAGGGAATTATTTTTGAATCTGTTGCAATCGAAGTGACACATTGTGAAAGTGGCACAAAAAGGAACTACATGGATTTGTCGCACGCGACGGAACAATTATCGAAACCGCCCCATGGCTTTAGTGAATTAGGCGCAGGACTTTTTAAAAAGGGACCATGCACAGAAAATGATCGCACACACTTTAGTGAATTCGTTTCCAAAGCGGTTTTTGTTTCAGTTTTGCTGACTTTCATTTGTAGCTGAACACAAGTATATGAGATATGACAGTACACATCATTAGCATTGTGCGGTTACCTGGCAATGAGCCCACTTGACGTTAGATGATAGAGAAGTAACTCACCCCTGGATTGTCTCCGACCTCGTACTCTATGGTGATGTGTAGCTGGGTACCAGCTGGGACAGGCTCGGGCAGGCTGATGACAGTGACAGTGCCATAGCTAGTGAAGGGCTGATTGTCCCATGGCAGCTTCTTCCGTTCCCCGGCACTCGGCTCTTCCCATACCCCTAGTATATTCAGACTGGAGTAAGTGTCCAGCCTCAGCTCCTTGCTCTCTCTCAGCACCCGGAGCTCCAGCTTCTCCGAGCCGCTCAGCTTCCTGGCCTGGGTGTCCACATCGAGCTCCAGGTGGAAGTGCTCCACCTTGAAGTCTCTGTAACTGGAGGCCGTGGCCGCATCTTCCACCAGGCTCCCTCTGCTCATGCTGCCGGTTTTCAGGAAATGACTGGCCGACTCTGGCAGTGGAGAACCGCTCTGTGTGCTGGAGAGAGAGCGAGCCCGCCCGCTTCCTCCCGGGTCCTAATGTTCAGCCTGGGAGGACTGTGCTGTGGCTTGGGTTGCGCAATACTGAGCTCCCAAATCTTCCTCATTTGAAGGGACTGGCCTACTCTAGCCTTAACCAAATCCCTGTTTCTTTTTTGTTTCCTCATTAGTTGTCTCTCTTTATGCTCTGTTTTATAGACCTTAAAAATTTGCTATTCAGCCACTAAAAACTGTTACAGTCTTGTTCTAGTTCTGTGGCATAGGCTGAAAAGGCATTTGACAGAGTAGCCTGGCAATTTTTCCTCAGCCTAGGCCTTCCAGTGCTCCACTCAGTTATGTCCTTGTATTCTTCCTCGAAGCAGAGGTCAGAGTCAATGGCACCTTGTTTGCTAGTTTCCCCATACAGACATCCCGCTATCTAATAGAGGGGGAGTCCCTGAACATCAGCGAGACTTGAGATTCCTGCCCATATCAAATGGCACATTACAAGGCTGCCCCCTCTTCCCAGTTTTTTTTGCACTTTTCATGACAAAGACCTCTACGACTTTCTCTAGGGTTGCCACCTGTCCAGGATTCACCCGGACAGTCCAGGTTTTGAATGCTGTGTCTGGGTTTCATGGCAGCAGAAACCTGGACACAAGGTGTCAGGCAGACAGGGACAACCATAATAAAGATAGGGGCTACTGGCCCCCCACTGAAAATAGTCTCAACTTTGATATTTACATATGATTGGGTGGCGTTTTTTACATATTAATAAGCTACGATTCATTCTCCCAAAAAAATGTCCGCACGTCGCTAGAGTGTTCGGGTTTTGCTTGAAGAAAAGGTGGCAACCCTAGATCTCTCTCACCTCATAAAATTTAATTATAATAAATCAGAGGCCATGAATGTCTCCCTGAGTCATGATGTGACACTATCCCCCCAGCAATCTGTCCCTTTTTGCTGGATCTCTAATGGATTACCTACTTAGGCACTAAACTGACACATGACCCTAATGATCTCTATCTCTATAACTACCCCTTCTGGAATCCACCAAAAGACAACTTTTAAAATGGGACAAATTGTTCTATACCTGGTTTGGTAAGCTTGTCAAAATGTTGATCCTTCCTTGATCTCCCTTCCGCTTTCAGATTTTGCCAATTACCTTACCTTCGCTCTTCTTTCACCAACTGATGCCTACCATAATGAAATGTATCTGATATCACAAACCACCCAGGATACAACATAACTGCCTTACCCTTGCCAATGAGTCAGGTGGACTGGGCGCTCTGGATTTTTGATGCTACTGGTCAGCGGTTGTCCTGGTTAGAATTTTGGACTGGTCTTGTAATATGACAAACTGTAGGACTCCATGGAGCACAACTATTTCACCTAAATCTTTCACTCTTTTCCCTGCATTTTGTTTTACAAAGAATTTTATTGAGTAAAAAACTAAATATAAGAATAACACAGGAACATAATCAGACAAAGTAATGTGCATAAATACAACAGTAGTACCCAACATATTCGGTTCAAGAAAAGGGCAGGAGTACGCAATCCCACCATTAGAAGATGGAGACCCCACCATGGTAACAGAAAGGCAGTAAGTAAAGAGCAGGGTCATTACCATTACGGTACAAACAATATACACAAAGAAACCACGAGGGGGCATTGTGGCCCCTAAACAAACATTGGTAGCCACTAAAATTGAGTAAGGGAGGGGAGGGAAAGGGTAGAGAAAGTGCAGCATAGAAAAGAAGAGAGGAACAAAAAAGAGACTGCGGGGACTGGCGGGGTACGACAACTAACGAAAGGTGCCCAGCTAAACGGAAAACAACGTATGGAAGAAATGCAGCTTCACTAGGCTATCACAAGGCGGGTCATCTGGGTTCTTGCGAGTTAGCGTTACATGAACACAGTATGTTTCCAGTCGGTCCGGTGGGACATCTGGGGCCAGTTCCTGAAACAGTGAGATAGCAGTGGAGAACAGGTCGGTGACATGTTCCAGTAGGCCCCGAATCCAAAGGTTCGAGCGGTGGGATCGATTCTCCAGGTCCTCCAGTTTGGAGAGCAGGGCCTTGTTTTCATCGTGGAGAGCGTCCAGTTCTTTATTGAGGTCAGTGACATCCCTAGTTAAATCCTCATACTTATCTTCAAGGGCTGCAATGCCGCAATACGGTTATCGATGTCATATATTTATTTCAGCAGCTGCTCAGTTATCTGTTTGGAGGTCAAAATACCCGAACAGTCTGATCGGATGCAGGCGTTGTTCAGGTATTTTGAGAGCCAGCGGGGCCAACTAGCAAGATACTGATTGTGCCTCCCCAATAGGGGCATAGAATATGAGATGCATAGCCTCAGTTAATATTAGCATTGTTATATAGGTTAGAATTTATATAGTGTGATTTGCCTAACTATTTTCTCATAGCTAAATCCATGTGTTATCCTATGCCATCTAGTGGCCTTTTGTTGTAACAAACATGCTTTCTGTAATTATTCCTCATGTGACGATGTATTTCCCCCTAGTGTAGCCCCTTCCTGCTTCCTGTGTGCAGTACTTCCTGTGTCATGGCACAGCTACTAGCCACATGTAACAAGGACACACATGTAATCTGCACAGTATGTAGGAAAGGCATCATTTTCTGACCGCACAATACTATAACCATTCATCTGCTGTTCCTATCATCTGCTGTAATCCTGATGTAAAGAATAAACACCTCTTTTGAATGAATCGGTATTGACGAGTTCAGCTATCTGACGAGGATTGTCCGCAGTGAGTATATCTGCTTATACAGGCCAGGCATAGAGGTCTCAGCAAGGGATATATTTCGCTATCACAACGATCGGAGTCAGAATACTGATGCTTGCCCCAGTGGGAGATTGCTCCAGCCACACAGTGTAGCGTAGATGGAGGAATCTGTTGCACTTTTTCCATCTGACCATAGAAAATCTGCAGACAATCTTTAGGTGTTTGGCCCGCTTTAGGATCAATGCTGACTGACCAATTCAACAGAAAATGCTTTCGTTCCTGGGGACCGGAGCAATTTTGCCATTTTTGCTATGTGTTTGTTTAACTATAATTTCCATCTTCCTCATGCATTGCACCTACACATATTATGTACAGTTTTTCAAAGGACAAGGTGGGCTTTAATTTCATGTACATATGCATATGTAAATTCTTGTTTTATAAAAAATACAAAAAACTAATTTTTCACAGTTTTGGCATATGTCTGGGATTTCAGTTTATTTTGGGAGTTATATGTCACAAAATACAAGGCGTGAAATACAATTTTAGTGTGGAACTATTTTAGAATGTGGTCTGTTTGTCTCCTATCTTTAACCTCTTGCCGTCCGCCCGTAGTAGAAAAACGGACGGACGGCACTGCTGCATCTGCGGGTTGCCGTCTCCAGACGGCAATTTTTTTCTGCTCGCGCGCGCCCCCTAGCGGGCACGCACGGGCAGAAAAGACCCGAAGTCTCGGCACTATATTTTCTTATCATTTTTTATTAACATTAGTTTTTCTTAAACTTTTTTACTTTTTTAAACTTTTTTACTTTTTGTTACATTTTTAAAACTTTTTTTTTTAACTAGGGAGCACTAAGCATTTTTATTTTATTTACAGGGGCATTGATACTGACAGGGTTATTCACAAAAGGGTGAAGAGTTTGGAGGAGGCAGGAGAAGTGAACAATCTAGGACAACATAGCTGATTTGGAAAAATTCTCCAATTCAGCTCACTTTCCAGTTCAGTTATGTTGTCCTAGATTGTTCACTTCTCCTGCCTTCTCCAAGCTCTTCACCCTTTTGTGAATAACCCTGTTAGTATCTCAGAGTAGAATACAGTATTCTCCTCAGTGATACTATCATGTCTATTCACAAAAGAGTGAAGAGTTTGGAGAATTCAGGAGAAGTAAACAATCTAGGACAACATAGCTGATTTGGGAAAATTCTCTAATTCAGTTCACTTTCCAGTTCAGCTATGTTGTCCTAGATCAGGGGTAGCCAAACTCCGGCCCTCCAGCTGTGGTGAAACTACAAATCCCATGATGCATCTCTCTCCGGGAGTCATGTCTGTGGCTGTGAGAATCTTGCAATGCCTCATGGGATTTGTAGTTCCACCACAGCTGGAGGGCCGCAGTTTGGCCATCCCTGTCCTAGATTGTTCACATCTCCTGACTTCTCCCAACTCTTCACCCTTTAGTGAATAGCCCTGTTTGTATCAGTTTGTAACACACAGCCGACTCGCAGCTGCACAACACAGTGAGCTGCTGCCAGCTCTACGGCTGACACAGCTATGCGATCAAAGCGATCAGCTATTGCTGTGATCACAGGATTGTGACCTCCTAATCTGCTGTTGAGGGTCTGCCTCTGACCCCGGGGGGATCCATCAACAGCAGTAACTTATTGTACCGCATGACAGGATTATCCCGCCACCGGTCATTAACAAACTTTTCGATCGTGACGGGATAATCCCATCATCGGTCGGGAAGTGGTTTATCTGAAGGCAAATTGGAGTCCTTTCTGATACTAGATGGGCATACCTTATAAAGTGGTGGCTGAGTGTATATGCACATTTTCTGCATGTTTTAGTCATGGGAAAACATGCACAGTTTTTGTGTTGCAGTTGATGCATTTATTTCACAGGATTTCTGCATAAACAATATTTTTGTATAATACTGGTAACATATTTTATATGTTTAGCATCACAGCATCCTGAAAATATAACAGTGCCTCAATTCCGGGGTCACAGCACATGGTTCTCCATCCTCAAATCAAAACTGGCCCTGCAAATACCACTTCCACATATCCTCAGCTCATCACAACAGCGTCATTGGAAATGTCCCTGTGCTATCATCTTTGGGACAGAATACAGTATACCTCCATATCTCTATGCCCCCTTTCCCACATTCAGCCGTGCAATGACCCTGCAAATATCCAAACTCAGCATAACAGTGTCACTGGAAATCTCATTGGTACCTCCATTCCTGGCTCAAAGCA